TCCAAAGAATCATCCTCGAATTGTATTTGCTTTAAGACAGGAACCTTTCAGAGCCCACCTGCTATTGGTGAAGCTCATATGGGCACTTCCTGAGCCTCCAAAGGCATCTTAGCTCTGCCTATAGTACCAACACCAGATATTTTATGTGCTGGAGGTGATGTAAAGAACTTTCTGGTTAATTTATAGATTACCACTGTAGGCTGTGTGGGTTGCTTTTATCCTAAAGGATTGATAAATATGAAAGCAGTTTTCCTTTCCTAAAGAAAACGGATTTATTATAGCAACCAAATTATACAAAAAAGTAGTACTTACATGTGGCAAAGATTAAGGCTGAACAGTTCTTCCATTTTGGACATTAATTGTGGAGGTTAGCTCTGCTCTTCAAGCTGCTTTGAGCTGAAAGCTTTATTCCTTAATATACTCACCAGACCCCAACTGACTACTCTGTGCAGTGAGATTTGGTCAAAAGGGAATGGGTCCTTAGCCAAAGAACACACAGACAACTGTTTGTAGTTAGACCACTCTGAAAGCAGCTTCTTCTCAATACAGTTCCTATAAATTCCAAAACTAATTCAAAAAGACTACTATTCTACAGTGTCTGGGGGCAAAGAAGTTCACTGTTGTTCAGATGGTATCATAGTAGTGGAATTTATGAAATGATAAGGGAAACTTTGCAGAAGTAGGGAAAGAATGGTTATATGTTGTAGATGTGTTTCTCCAGATTAGTTGAGAGGCCAGATGAAAAAAGGAATTAAAGGAATTTGGAAAGTTTGTCATGGCTCTAGTTGGGATGTCAAGTTTCCTTATGATATGTACTGCACAGTTAGACATTCCTTATCTTTTCTTTGGGTCTGAGATACTTAGAGCTTCCTGATCTCTGGGTTGTGAAAATGCATGTTGTGTTAGTTTCTGTTGCTTATAACAGAATACCTAAAACTGGGTAATTTTTAAAGAAATTGAATTTATTTCTTACAGTTTTGGAGCATGGAAAGTCCTCAGTCCAGGGGGTGCATCTGGTCAAGGCCTTGTTCTTCATGGAAACTTTTTTTTTTTTTTGATGGCTGGCCAGTACTGAGATCCAAACCCTTGACCTTGGTGGTGTA